CTCAGACATTCAGCCTTGTAAACTAACGGCAGTCTTTTCTGGTGAAGCAAATGTGTGATTTACTTCTGCCTGATAAACTCGGGGTATGCTTTCTGGGCACCCACCTTCCCACACCAGGGCCCTTGGGTAAGAAATTAATTACATGTGAAAAGGCCGCTTGTTGAACATGGAACTGTAGCAAAGAGCTAGATATAGACAGTTTTTTACTTTTCTTCTCCCTTTTTCTCATTTGCCACAATAGAAACACCTTTCTGTCCTGAGGCATGTCATAATATTTCAAGCCCTACTTCAAAAGTTAAGCTTTCTCTGGCATTGTTATAGCCCCCAAGTGTTCTGCCTGTGGTGTGGATGCACCTTATAGTACAGGAGAGAGTTAGTTACCCACCTCTGATGGAACTTAGCAGCTCTTCAGCATCTGCCACCTGCACAGCTGCTTCAAATCCAAAGTGAAAGGCAGTGTTTGTTTTCACTTTTAGGAGGATATGAAAAATGGGGCAAGATGCAGTTTCCAAGTATATCTTCATCACCTTTTGTAAATAAAGCCTTAGAGTCTGGTTCTAGGCTTTCCAGTATATTGATCCCACTGTCAGAATTCATGGCAAATCCTGACTGTGTTCTCCCGTGAAGGGGATTTGGGGGTAAATGCAAGATTCTAACAGCATTCATTCAAAAATGGAGAAATTGAGTAACATATTCTTCATGAACTCCCCATGAATTTTGTCCAGAACGTTTTATTCTTCCAACCAGACATCTCTTTGTGTGTCAGAGAAGTGTGCTTGTTTGGAGAGAGGTTGTATTAATGTGGAAATAGGAACAAATGGCTTTCTTCGGCTTTTTCAGATTGGAATCACACTGCAGCCCGTGGCGCTTCATAGGAACGTGTATGCATCGGTGGTAGAGGACATGATTTTAAAGGTGAGTGTCAGCTGGCAGCAGAGGGGCCAGCCAGGCAGGGCGGTCTGAATGCCAGGCTGTTTTGAGTAAGGAGGGATAAATACAGAAACAGAATAGAGATGACAAGTTTTAAGGTTTCAGGCTTAAAGGTTTTTTTTTATTTTTTATTTTATTTTAAATGAACTAAATTATGGTTCCTCTGAATGTTGAAGCACCTCCAATAAGCGTTTCTTTGCTGATGTTACTCTAATAATATTTATTAGTGCCATTTCAAGTGCTTTTTAAGTAGTCTGAGGTGAGAGTCAGTGCTCTTATTTGAGGAGGTGACAGAGTAGGTGACAGAGGCAAAGCCTTGGATTTTCTCCACATGTCACAATAGCAGCAGAGAAACAGCCACACTGTCCCATCCCTGAGCAAGGTGATAACAAAAACCAGTTTCTTTACCCAGCATCCTTTAAGCTCAGCAGTTCCTTTCCTGGTGGGTCGCCTCCCATAGCAGGGTACCTCGCAAATAACCCTCAGTTATTTTGCTTGAAAACATCTGATTAATGAAAATTAGTCACATTCATAATTTCTCAGAATCATGGCTCCTATCATTCCTTAAGGACTTTTGATCCTTAGGTTCAGTTTTCAAAGTCTAGGGTATGAGATGGGGTCAGATGCATCCCTTCTTGCCTGAAAGCAGATGCTTGTTTTTGAGAGTAACAGCATCTTCTGTTGTAGGCTACGGAGCAGCTGGTGAATGACATCCTCAGACAGGCTTTGGCAGTTGGATACCAGACAGCATCCCACAACAGGTACCGTTATCGCTTCAGTCCGTAGTCTAACTCCATCTCCCATCTTTTCAAGAGACAGGAAGTATCGTTCCAGAGTACTGTGGTGCTTTGACTCAGCTTTCATTCTGCTAAGACTGAATTACAAAAATATCGTTGTTGTACTCTATACTTTACTTCCTCTTTTCTCAGTCTTCAGTTTTTTCTTAATCTTGAATTCAACCAGCTTCTTGAAATCCATCTCAAACCTGTGACTAGGAAGTAGGATCTGAGCCCTAAAAAGGGCCAAATGAAGAGGTGGACCAAATCTTCACCAAAGTTAAAAGGAATTAATAGGAAAGAAGAGAGAAAAAGAATGCCCCTGGCCACTCTCCCCACCCCCAGGTAGCCCTAAACTATGCCTTGTCACTCATCATTATCCCCTTCCATTAGGGCCTTTGCAGGAGATGATCCTTTAGATAAATTAATTGATTAAATTATTAAGTACATGAGAGGATTGCACTTACCAGCCTTTGTTTTTTGGACCAGGATTCCCAAAGAAATTACAGTGAGTAATATTCACCAGGCCATTTGCAACATTCCTTTTCTGGACTTCCTCACCAACAAACACATGGGGATGTTGAATGAAGATCAGTGAGTGGAAGGAAGCTGCCCCAGGAAAGCAGGATCTGGAGGTGTATACGAAGCTCTGAACTGTGATGGCTCTTCTCTTTGGGGAAGGAGGTTATTTTCTTTGTGCCTCAGAACATCATGGCTACCAAACCATTGCCTCCACCTAATTCAGTGTAACACCAGAGTGTTCAGTCCCAGATCAGATCCCTTTAGGAGAGAAATTTCCTGATTCTAAAGTGAAGCTGTGAGTGGATGCATGCTCTGTCACCTTGCATTTGTTCACTGTAAAGCTCCATGAGAGGGTCCCAGAGCCGGGCCAGGCCGTGTGTATCCTCTGGGTGTGCTCAGGGGCGTATCTGGGGCCCGAGTCTCCCTCCAGGAGACAGAACATGAGTCTGACAGGCTAGAGATTTCACCCATTCGGTGGGCTGGGGTTACAGACATCCCTGACAGTTGCCCTGGTAACGTCTGGCGAAGGACTGGGCTTCAGCGCTCAGCAGGCGGCCGTGGTGTGGAGGATCTGCGCTCAGCCCAGGTGTGTCGGCTGCAGAACCCAGTGATGCTGTGCGGAGGAGGTTGCAAACTGAGCAGGATTCTTTTTTTTTTTTTTTGCGCATAGAAGCATTGTTACAGCCAGTCTCAGAGCATCGTCCAGTAATAGGCAGATCCCAGCATAGGTCAGGAAAGATTTGACTATAACCAAGAAGTTCTTAATATGCTTATAATAGATAACACCCACAAATCCCGGGCACTTGGCAGACTCGTACCAGCATTATGTGTGTCGGGCAGGGAGCTGGGTCCACACAGTCCGCGTGGTGCAGCAGCTTCTGCTGCTGGATCCATGTTGAGTGGCCAGTGGGGAGCAGCCCGTGGGACAGGCCCCACTAGGGTGGTTCAGCCTGTCAGTGGACTTCGTGTCCTGCTTTTCTCTGTCAAGTTTTTCCCAAGAAGAAAAGTGTTTCAAAGAAATACTCGTGAGTGCCTTAAAGGTAGAGTAATGGCTGCCAAAGCCAAGATAGAGTTATATCAGTGCTCAGAAGCAGTGAGACTATAAGCAGATGGGCAAGAGAAGTGAAGAGAAGAAGGAAAGTTAGCAGCGCCCTGCATGATGTCCAGTCCTATTACAAGTACTGTTTCCCAGGCTTCTAACACTGTGTGGAAGTGAAGGAATGAATTTATTCTCAGTTAGGAAGCTGCTCAAAGACAATTTGAAACCTGTGAGTCAGAGTCAGAGAAACTTATCTAAGCAACATAATTTGTGTTCTCATGAGTCCAGTAGATGTTTGAGTCAGGAAAAGGCAGAAGTGACACCCTGAGAAATCTACTCTTTTATTCTGCATCCGAGAATTGCAAATGCAGGAGGAAGTCTATTCAGTAAGGCATAAGGCATGCCCTGGCTTGGTGATTAAATAGTTTAGTAGTAAAAGCTCAGCTAGTCTGTACATAAACTACTCCAAGCAAAGGTCATGGGCAAGTGTATAGATTCATGCAGCAATGAGTGGACTGTGACTGAGCTCTACAGGAAGGTTTGATCCAAACGAGAACAGGTTCATTTACTTACAGGTATGAAAGCCTAAAGAAATTACCTTTTTGCAAAAGAAATATTAAAATGGCTTAACATTCCCCATATGTGTTAATGTTTCAAATGTATTTGTATCATAATGTGTAACATAATTGTGTAACAAAAATACCTACAATAAATCTTTTAGTATTTGTGATGGGTTTTTTGGCGTAGGGTTCTTTTTACATTAGGTCAGCTAGAGCTGGGATAGGGCGAAGGTATAGGTCTTTATGTGTTTAATTCTTCCACTTTTTTCCGAAGGAACTTGAGGCTCTGCAAGATAAAGGATAACAGTTAAGTCAAGTCTGCAAAAAACCTGGAAGATACATGTTGACCCCAGACATAATGATTTCAGACAGCTTGGGGCAAAGGAAAACTGCTTAATTGAGCTCAGAGCTTCCTCAAAGCCAAGGCAATGCTGCAATAGCTCCTGTCTTCTGAAAAAGAAACTCACTGGTTTGTCTGGCGAGATAAAATTGGTCTGAGCTAAGGCCTGAAAGAAGTTACTCCTGTGACAGTCTTGCTGTGACTGTCTACTATCATAATGGCTAAAAAATTACCAAAAAGGCAGAAGCATTTTAGAATGACCACTTTTTATATCCATCCTTACGAAGAACTAAAAGCTTTTACAGCCCTTCCTCTGCAGGGAGGAGGCATTGTGAGATAGGCCAGGTGTGGAGCTTTCCTGGGACCAGACTTCACCTAGTGTTAACCTTTAGGAAGTTGAGTAGTCCAGGAAGACTAGGGGCATTGCTTAGGCTGAATGTTGTCTCAGCCACAGTTTTGACAGGAGCCGTGCAACAGTCAGTCAGATATCAGTGTCACAGGCAGTACCTTAACTGGGGACTCCCTCTTCCTGACTGAAGGAGCCTGTGTGAGTGGGGCCAGCAGGGCCAAGGTTTTCTCAGAAGCTGCTTTTTGGAGTTTGGCCTAAAATTCTGGAGTTATTACAGGTATGATAGTTTTAGCGATAGGTTTTTCTGAGTTTAAAACACCACAGAGCACAGAGAGGTGGGACCTTGCTCTGACTGCAGGTGAATGATCTTGGATCTCCCTCTGGCAGGGCCTCGTGGTGCAGCCGCACGGCTGATGGAAGTGGCTTCTGGCAGTGCTGACTTTGGTTATGGAATTATTAATAGTGAACTTTCTTTTGGCTGAAATTAGCTTAACAGATTGAACTGTTTTATTTTTTAAAACTTTTCTTATTACAGAATACAAAAATTCTTGTTATAAACTTTAACAAATATAGTAAAGTATAATTAATTTAAAAATTCCCCTCCTTAAAGATAACCACCACTAATATTCCAGTGCATTTCTTTATGTATATTATATGTATGTGATACATATGGGTTAGAACCGTACATGCGGTTGAGTCTGTTGTCTGTTGTTTCCTAAGGCCACCCCAGTAGCGTGATGTTAGGCCCGGCCAAGACCTAGACTGAGTGGAGGAAATTTCTCCTTCAGAACCCAGATCTCATAATAATTAATGAAGTCTAGTAAGGAAGGTGGGGGTTGGGGTGTTTTTGAAAAGCTGTCTGTTCTGGTGCATTCCAAAAAGGTTCTTGGGCATGCATTATGCCTTGCAGAGGCCAGGCTGCCTTAGGCAGTGGGTGCTCCCACTGCTGCTGCAGTGCCAACACTGCCAGGAGGGGCAGGCTTGCTTTATCCCCACTGAGGTACAGCAGACAGATGGCTAAAGCATGAATGCAGGCTCTGGGGAGGGAAGGGCACTGCCTGCTGTATAGTGTGGTGGGCCAGGTTTCGTGAGAGGGACTGCGTCAGTGGCATCAGATGGAGCAGATGGACCAAAGTTGCACCTGAGAGGAGAGCCAGCCAGCTCCTGGGAAAGCGGGAAGGGGCGCTTGGCCGTGTACTGAGTGCCCTGCACACAAACACCGATTCTCTTAGCAAGGGGTATTAGCTTTGCTTTGCAGATAAGGGAATGGAAGCTTAACCTGCTCACAGCTTGTAAGTGGAGAAGTCAAAAGATTTGAGTCCAAAACTAGTCTTTTACCCTAGGCTCCTGAGAATGGGAGCGGGGGCACATAGGCAGGGTGGGGGATGTGAAACGGGGGCTGGTGGGTTTTGTGAGAGACTGCATGTAACACCAGTGTGGACTGCAGCCCAGAGCGGGGTTCTCAGGACTGACAGTCCTCCAGGGATACGAGCAGCAGCTATGATGCACTAAAGTCCTTGTTGCCAAAGGGAGGATGAAGGAAGTTGTAAGAGAAGGTGCTCGTGTTCATAATTAAAGAAATAAATTAACAAGAAATTAAAACAGTATATTTTTGCATTTTAGTAAAATCCGAGATTGTTCATTTCCCACAGAATGCCCAGCAGGCTGTCTCTCTCTCAGAAACATCTAACGTGCAAACCAGTGAAGTCTGATATAATAGAACCCTTTGTGTTAGCATATGATTTGGGTTTTTCCTTTAAAATGTTTGTTCTCTCGGAGCATTTTCTTTACTGGAATGAGGGGAAGAGCTGTGCCCGCCAGAACTAGCACCTCTGAGGGGACGACCCCCTTTGCAGCCTGAGCTAGAAACAGCCCCATCTCCTGCAGCTTCAGTAAGTACACACCAGACTAGAGCCACTCGTGGGCCGGAGAGGAATAAAGCTCCAAAGGGAAATCCTTGAGTTTCCTTACCAAAAACTGTCCTAAGCTGGTGCCTCTAATCTCTAAAGGACACAGACTCCGTCAAGTGTTTGTATTTGTGCTGCCGAGGCCAGCACTAAACTCCTAGTGTCTGAAGGGCTGCTGTGCAGAGGGAACCAGGCTTGTTCCACGTGGCTGCACTGCCTGGAAAATCAAGCAAGTCAGGAGAGAGCTTTGCAGAGACAGCATAGGCTGCCTCCCTAACAGGCGTGGGCTCCCTGGAACTGCGTGTGAGAGCAGGGCGGATGTGAGGGTAAGGGTTGGGGTAGATGGCATTTGAAGGTCTTTCAGGGATTGAGGCTAATGCTGCCTTCTTAAAAAAGCTCCCAGTTCTTAGTGTGGATGGCACTTCCTTTCTAGTTATTAATATTTTAAGGAGGAAAACTGGAATTAGTAATAAAATGCAGGGCTCAGGAACTTACCACAAGGTAAATAGCATTCATTCATTCAGTACTTCAAGCACTCATTCCAAGAAATGTTTTGTTAAAACATAAGGGTCATCTTGGCCATAAAGAACTTAACTTCTTTGAAATTGAAACCCCGTGATATTGTTTCTTTTAGAAACTTTCACCTGGTTCTTCAGCATCATTATGAGTCACATGCAGGTGATGACCTAAGATTTCTTCTGCAGCTTGAACGTGTGGGGCCATGTCAAGACTATCCAAGGGAGTTACTTTGGGTTACCATAGGTTATAAAATTATCATGCAGCCTGGGAAAACAACAAAGTGGACATTACTGGTTCTTTCGGGGCTCTGTTACGTCCATATTTCTCAGGCCCACTGGACCAGTTCAGTTCACCATGGAATTGATCCTCAAGTTCTTGAGGTTTAAAAACTGACGGATGGCCCAAAGAGGCCGTTAAAAAAGAATGGAGCCTTCCGAACGCTTCTCACAGAAGAGACGGCTGAGGTCCAGAGTTGAGCTGGGTGGTGCCGTGTCCACCTGTGCCTCTCTCTGTGCCAGGGCTGCGGCCCGGTGGCAGCTTGGAGAGGAGTGGTGCCTCGCGGTGAGGACCCTTTCCCTCGGACGGCAGGGGGCCATCCGGGCCAAGATCTCACCCCAGCTCCCTGGTGGCAGTGGTTCTGACCCACCCCATGTCACTCTCCTCTCGGTAGGCAGTCACACGTTGAGGATCCGGGGAGCTGAGGCCTGAAAGATGGCTGAGGGGTTAGGAGCAAACTTCTTCCTCACCTCAGGGACCTGAAAAATGAAACGTGGCCACATCACTGAGCCTTTCCCTCCATTTTCCCCACTCCCTCCAGCTCCAGGGGAATAATTCTCTCCTAGCCTCCTTTCTGTCCTCCAAGAGTTGACTGCTGACCTGAAGGGTCCGTGGGGCAACGTCCGCAGTGGGCAGGGTCACTACGTTAGGTCAGACGTGTCACATGGACCTTCCATTCTGCTCCCCGAAGCCTCCTTTGGGTGGAATCAGGAAGCTGCACAGTCCCCACCTCCCTTCCATCTTCACTCTTACACAAGTGCTCAGTGGTCATGGGTAAG